GAGTGTCCTACAGGAAAGCAGGTGGTGCAACAGGTTGAACCAAAGGGCAGTGAAAAAGCCAAATAAATGAAGACCTATAATTTGTCATTAATATTAGAATATTAAAGGACATATTCACGTTACTACACCCAAAAATAAGACAGTGCCTGATTCATCCCTCAGATTAATTTAGGTAGTCACATAACAAGTCTGACCGAGAATACTTATAAATTACCAAAAATTGTAACATGCATATTATTTTGATACTTTAAGTCAATAGGTTTGCTTGGGCTTAGCAAAATTAAGAAGTGCATTTTGTGTCTCAGGAGATTTGGTGTCCTTAGATAAGAAACCTTTAGACACCATTCCAGGACTTAGCACCTAATCCACATTCCATAAAAATACTTCTAGAGAATTAAATAGGCTTTACATCAGATCTAGGGTGTGTCCTCCTACTCCATGGCCAGTCTTGCCTCCTTGCTGCCTACACGGTGACACACACCAAAACTGGGGCTGTGTGCAGTTTGGTTGGTTGGCCAGCTGAGCAAGCTGGGCCAAGTTACCACATGAACCACACTGGCCAAGTGTCATGCTTACTGTAACCTTCATGGATGAACAAAGCTGCACATAACTAAGCACGAGAAAGGAGTCGCTGGGCCATCAGACAGGACTTACTGTCTCAGGCACTGTTCCATATACTGGAGGTATAGCAGCGCTACTTATGCAGCCAGAGGTTGATGCTAAGTTACCCTTCCACTGGTGCTGTCATTACAAAGTTGTCATGCAAACACAACATAAATGCTGGTCACTTCTCTGAACATAGAAAATGGAAGTGGAAACAGCTGGTTTCACAAGCCAGCGTAGCCTATTAATGTTTTAAGAAATACTACAGAGGTGACTTTAAATTGGAACTTTTATGAGTCCATTCCTCCTAATGGGTAGGATACATCTAACATGTTAAGACTAGTACAGTATAGATAAAAACAGTATCTTTATCACATTGCTTATATCTTTAGATTATATCTACTGTAACACCACTAATACAATCTCTTCATGGCACACATTTAGAAAGCAATCAGAAAGCTATGCATCTCTTCTACACCACACCTTGCATACTGCAGCTCACTACAGGCCAGTGGCACAAGAGACCACCAGATTCTGCAGCATTAACTGATCCTGAATAAATTATTTTTAACTGCAACTACCAAGCTCTTATCCTCTTCAGGGACAGCCATGTTCTTTGTGTATGGGCTGCATACAAAAATTTTAATAACATCTTTTCCAGTCCCTGCAGCACTGCTTGCCACTACCAGCAACAGTCAGAAAGAAATCAGGGCCACTTAGTAACCTCTTTCCAGTGAAACTTTTTCTTTCCATCAAACCATTTTGCACTGATTCAGAAAGCCTGTAACCATTTACTATCAGTCACATTACATTTCTAGTGTAGTCCTAGTTATTTCATCAGCACTAAAATTGGGAACCTGGAAGTAATGGATTTTTTCCAAGCTCTCCCCTAAAGCAAGCTCTGCTCAGTCTACCTACTGAAAGGGTATTGTAAGGTGTCAGAGAGTTTCAGTGACTATTTTCAATTAACCTGCAGAGAAGCTTGGGAACTGAACTTTATTATTCCCACAAAACTGAACTCAGGAGGAGTCATCTTTCCCATTTTTTATTTTGGAGGTTTTCAGAAGATGAGGGGAAGGGGCAGGGAGAGAAGAGAAACTGACTCATAAGACATGTCACACAGGTAAAATGTGTGACAAAGTGACAATTAAAAAGTCCTAACATTGCATGTACGTCTTCAGCCTCTGAACTACTCATTTTCAGACAAGAACAAGATCTTGGGATATAACCAGGAATTATTTGAGAACAGCTCATTACTGAACCACAAGTCAGAGAAGGCACACTCTGGGCACTGTGCCACAACATAAGAATCTATAGTGTGCCGAATTCCTCAATACTTTGTACAGTTGTTAGAGCTAGAAAAGGCACAAAGGAGGGCAAGAAGGATGGTCAAAAGATAAAGTGTTGTTTTCTGAAAGCAAAACACTGACTTCCAGATTGACATCTCCCAAGAAGGGTTTTTTCCCCGCAATATCATCGGGTCTCTTCATCTGTTCAAAGCCATATGTATTTAATATAGAAGTCTACTAAAAAAAGATGATTCCTATGGTCCGTGTCACAAATTTTTCTTCCAGTGGGAAATCAACTGTCAGAGCCTTGACATCTGCTATTGATGTGTAAAAGCAAAGCAGTTCACCTCCCTCTGTATAAAAGTACAAGCTTATAACCAAAGCAGACAAGGGACAGTACAAAGCAACACACAAGATTTTGACCACAGAAGAAAATACTTCCTTGGACATGCTGACTAGTTCTTTTCATTGGCAAATTTTAAATACAAGGCTAGAAATCAATCTTGTAACTGTAAGCACTTTGTGTACTAGAGGCCCATAAGCTGCACAAATGAGTCTAGAGGAAAAAGCTGACAGCTGCCACTATTCTAAAGACAGCATTATTTATGCCAGGAACTTGACCTTCCAATGCAGATCTGAAGTTTTCCCCCTAGAAAGAGGTAGGACAGCATTATTCAACATAGGTTTCTTCATCAGGATATTCTACTCTACAATAGCTCTGCAAAGAATATAAGGTTCAGTTCTGTGTTCTTGCAGTGTAAAGCCTCTTTAGCATCCCTATCAGTTTGACAGATCATTTTACCACCTGACATGATCTTTTACAAAAAAAAAAAAAAAGGCATAAAAGCAATAAAATTGTCAGAGGGGCCAGTTTTTGTTTTGAACTGACATGTCAGACCTACAGCACCACAGGAAATATGTCAGAGCATAGATATCTCTGTTGTTGGTATCACTTTCAAATCAGCATTCTATACACTGAAATATCTCCTCAAGAAGGTCTGGTTTTGTAGACTGAGATATGCTCATCTGTGTGTGTACACACACAACTTACATATGCCTATACCATCAGCAGGACAGGTGAATACTTCTATACTATTTAATAGTTCTTAGATTGGGCCTACAAGTAATAATAACAGAAGTCAAAAAACAAGAAAAGAAATTTCAGAGTGTTAAGTAACTGTTCATGCTGCACATAAAACATATTTAAGATACTTAACTAAAACATCAAAAATGTTCAAAAGGACTACCCGTGTATCTAGAACTTTGCCTTTCAAAAGACAGCTTGCTATTTTCAAAGACAAATGTAGGATGAAAGCGCAGCCATTTCTGGAACAGAGACTTACAAAACCTAGCAGGTGTGCAGAAGCCTGTGCTACATCACAGGAGTAACAAGCCTGAACCAAAATGGCAAAGTAAACTATGCCTTTTAGAGCAAAAACTAAAGGACCTTTAACATCCCTTCAGAATCAGGGTCAACAAGAGCTCACTTAAGATATACACAGTTACCTGCACAATATCTAGCACCAGCATCTGGATTTCAGCCTATCTTTCTAGGGAGAGAGATTTCATAGAATCACCGAATACCCTGAGTTGGAAAGGATCCACAAGGATCATCATAGTCCAACTCCCAGCCCTGCACAAGACCACCCCAAGAATCACACCGTGTGCCTGAGAGTGTTGTCCAAATGCTTCTTGAACTCTGTCAGGCTTGGTGCTGTGACCACTGCCCTGGGGAGCCTGTTCCAGTGTCCAACTACCATCTGGGTGAAGAATCTTTTCCTAATAGCTAACCTAAATCTCCTCTGACACAGCTTCATGCCATTCTTTTGGGTCCTGACACTGGTCACTAGAGAGAAGAGATCGGTGCCTGTCTCTCTGCTTCCCCTAACAAAGAAGTTGTAGACTGCAATGAGGTTTCCCCTCAGTCGCCCTCAGGCTGAACAAGCCAAGTGACCTCAGCCATGTCTCATATGGCTTCCCTTCAAGACCTTCACCATCTTCATTGCCCTCCTTTGGACACTAAGAGCTTTCCTATATTGTGGTGCCCAGAACTGCACACAATATTCAAGGTGAGGCTGCCCTAGTGCAGAGCAGAGTGGGACAATCCCCTCCCTCAACTGGCTGGCGATGTTTTGCCTGATGCCCCCCAGGACACGGTTGGCCCTCCTGGCTGCCAGGGCACTGCTGACTCATATTCAACTTGCCATTGACCAGGGCCTCCAGGTCCCTTTCCATGGCACTGCTCTCCAGTGCCTCATTACCCAGTCCATATGTACACCCAGGGTTGCCCCAGCACAGATGCAGAATCCAGCACGTGTCTTTGTTAAACTTCATATAGTTAGTGATTGCTCAGCCCTCTGATTTGTCCTGGGCTCTCTGGAGGACCTCTCTGCCTTTGAGAGAGCCAACAGTTTCTCCCAGTTTAGTATCATCAGCAAACTTACTCAGTACGCCTTCAAGTCTTGCATCCAAATGGTTTAGGAAGATGTTGACAAGAATTAGCCCTAAAATGGAGCCCTGTGGAATCCCACTAGTGACCTGGTCACCAGCTTTATGTAACCCTATTCACTGTAACCCTTTGTGCCTGACCCATGAGCCAATTGCTCACCCACCACATGATGTGTTTATCCAGCTGTGGGATGGACGTTTTGTCCAGAAGGATTCTGTCAGAGACAGCAATGAAAGCTTTACTGAAATCCAAAAAGATTACATCAACTCACTTCCCTTGATCAACTATGTTGGCTACCTTGTCATAAAAGGAAATTAAGTTTGACAAACAGGACTTTCCTCTCACTGGCTGTGACCAATGACTGTGTTGTCCTTCAGGTGTTTTTCAATACCTCCAAGAATAATCTTCTCCATAATTTTACCAGTCATTGAAGTGAGACTGACAAGCCTGTAGTTTCCAGAGTCATCCTTTTTGCCCTTTTTGAGAATCAGGACAATGTTAGCCATCTTCCAGTCAAGTGGGACCCCTCCAAATTCCCAAGACCATTCAAAACTCACTGAGAGATGCCTCATGATGACATCAGTCAGTTCTTTTGAGTATTCTTGGATGAATCCCATCAGGCCCCATAGATTTGTAGTGAGCAGTAAATCCCACACAAGTTCAAGGTCGACTGGGAGTTTATTCTCACAGTCATGGTCCTCCAGCTCAGGGCACTGGGATGCCCTGATTTGAAATGTGGATTTCAAATTAAATCCACATATGCAAAATGGAAGTGAGTTACTGTCACGGTAGAAGATTTATCTTCTGAATTCCCAATCTTGTGCTGTTTTCTCATGCTAGAAAGTAACTCAGTAAACCTATCACTTCAGTCATTTGACTTTGACTATACAGAACAGAGTAATTAGCAAGCATGGGTACATCTTTTCTGTATATCTAAGATCACACCTGTCCTGCAATAACAATTTTTATACACAAGTATAGCAGCCTAGTAATGATCTAGCCTGGATTCTTGGGTTCTAATACCCAGGCAAGCTACAACACTCACATGTGATAAACACTTGCATTTCTCTTACAAATTGGCAAGAGCAGCCACCAGATCTGCCATTCTGCATTCACTAGGTTGCTGCTACATTGATCAGGAGTCTCCCTTCAACTGTTCCCTTAATGCCTAATAGGACTCAGATTTGGGTTTTCTGTTTTGTGGTTGTTGTGTTTTAGAGATTCTAGTTGTTTTGTTTCATAGCAGCAGCAGCGACACTGCTCTGCACTGGGCTACTGCAGACACATGAAGCAACATGCAATCACTGGGGTGGCAAACACAGCCCAGTCATCTGTGCCTCCCAAGGAAGAGGGCAAACCATGACAAGGATGAAGGTCTCAGAGATGGACTTTTACCAGAGACTATCTCCTGAAATGTACCAGCCTATCTAAGGAGACCCACAGAACCACAGCCCCATTTCTAACAATATACAAAAATATGTAAATTGTTGTAACCCATTTAGGCCTGCATATTCTCCAGTCAATATTCTGATTATAATCAAAAGCCAGAAAGTCCCTCCACCAGTGGCAGCAGTTCCTGATCCACAGAAAAAAAATTAATTCATTACTCATCAGAATATTCAGTAAATTACATCTGAGCTCTTCTCCTAAAAAAACACTGAGAAGAAAGCAAGGTTTGACCAACGTATGTCTCACTCCTAAGGATGCCTGATTGGAAAAGACTGCAGATGTAGTGTCAGAGCACACATACGTAAAATACTAAGAGCTGATATATACAGAACCTACCACAAAATTTCTAGGAGTCACTAATTAGCATACAAGTACTCCTTGACATATTAACAGTCAAAAGTACTGGATTAAAAAAAACCCAAACATAAAAAAAGTCAACAAAACACAAAAAAACCCCTCCTACAATCAATCACCACAACAAAACAAACTCTTAGCTAATGCAATTATATAAACTGTGAAAGTTCGGTTTAATTTGCCAAGTTTTCATGAGGTTTTTTTTATGAGCTCTGATCTGCAGGGTAGGAAAACTGATACCAGTAGAAAGCAGCTTCACCTTCTTCCTTGGAGGGAAGCCTGGCTAAAATACACAACATCAGTGTCCCCGGACCCTAGCGCTTTAAATACAAATAAATACATTTTTAAGTAATGTTGCAAAGGGATTCATTGGTGTACTGCTTTTAAAATTGATTTAATAGGAATTCGATACTTGGTACAAAAGAAAGACCCTACAGAGCCAAGACAGGGCGATTTTGTGCAAGCACACTGCTGCCCTCTCCTGGGGTGAATCCGATCCACTCCGGTCCTTACTCCGCACAGCAGATCCTGAAGGAAGCTGCGTCTCCAAGACAATCAGGACTACTCTGGGGGCTAGAGATTTAAAATAAACAAAGTAAAAAAGCAGAAGAGTGAAATACACACAGATACAGAATAAACACAGCAAGCTATTGATCATTATACAAACTGTGATAATTCATCACCTTAAATCCTTAAATTCTACAGCGGTTCATTCCTTCATTTAGATTGAAAAAAAATTTCCCAATAGCCACTGAAAGAGTTGTCAAGCATTGGTTCTGACTGCCCAGGGAAATGGTGGAATCACCTTTTCTCAAGGTATTTAAGACTCGTAGATGTGACACTTAGGGATATTGCTAGACTTAGCAGTATTTGGTTAATGGTTGGACTCGATCATCTTAAAGGTCTTTTCCAACCTAAATGATTCTATGACCTAATGCAGGAGAGCCCAAAAGTGATTTTCAGCATCAACAGCAGAGCCTGTGGGACAGCAGAATATTCTAAGAACTAAGATAAAATGGCAAACAGCAACTTTCACATTCATAAGCACCAAAGAGTTTTGATACTATTACTGCAGAGTAATGCAGAGTAACCATACAAAGTTACACAGGCTCTTAAATTGCTTTGATTTCAGTGGCATTAGAACAAAGATAAATTCTACTGTTAGTCAAAATCCTGCTTTTGATTACCCTTCATAAGCCCAGGGTAATTCATGGGCCTGGGTACACTTCCCATTTACCAAAGGTTAATGAGTCGCCTTATGTAAGCCGAGCTTTAACTGGCAGAATGCAGGTTTAATCCCCAGCAAGCATGAGACAAAATACGTAGCTTAAGCCTCAGCAAAAGAAGAGTTAAGACAAATTGATTTTAATTTTGAGATGCAACTGCTAAGAATGAACACAGGCTCAGGTACTGCAGTTTAGCTGAAAGGCAACTTACTAAGCTGCGGTAATCCTAAACCTACGTTCAAATCACAAAGTCTAATGTTATTGACAAAGTTTGGTCTTCACAGAATGTTTTAAAGCAATTCACAATTGTATTTTAAACTTAACTAATCACCTAAATAAATATAGTCTGAACATATGCATTTAATGGACTACAGAGGTATAAAACCAGTCCCTCAAATCACAGAAGCAGAAAAACAGCTAAGGTAAAGAGAGGAGACGATGGCAGAGTGCATTCCGCAGGGCAGGTGGCCTGGACCTGTTCACGAACCACCTTGAGATGAGCAGCATTCCACTGCTACCAGCCCAAGCATAGCCAATTCCACAAACCCAGACTGAAAACAACTGATTGTATAGCAGTTCTCAAACTGAAAGTCACCCATCCCTTTTGGGCATAAGCTTCATGAAAGTTAGCATTGCTGTGCAGCAGTAGGACATCCTACAACTCCAACATGAGCACAGCCTGCAAAACACACTCAGCATTAGGAAGGCCTCAGCTGAGTAGCGGTATATCCAGTTTTGGGGAACACACTTCAAGAAAAGATGTGTTCTCCATGGAAAGGGTCCAAAAAGGAAGGAAGAATCGAAGCTAAAAGTTGTCATCTATAATATCCTAGTGAATTAGCATTCTTTAGCCACTCTTTAATCTAGAGGACAAGATTCAAAAGGAGACAGCATTTTCACATTTTCAAATATGGAATACAGTTGCAGAGAGCAAGGTAACAAATTGTTTTCTATATCCACAGAAGGTAGAAGGAATAGCAGTACTGGTTTTAAATTGCAGCAATAAGGTATTCAGGTAACACATCAGGAAACCTTTCAGTGAGAGATAAAACAATCAAAATAAACCAAACAAAAAGGCTTTAAGAAGAGGTTAGACAAACAATTGTTAAAGAACAACGTAGGCGTAAATGTGTATATTTTATTTGTACATTTTATTAAACACATACATGGGAAACCAGTTATCTCTGAAATATCTTCCAGTCTATTCTTTATGACTTTTCATAGTAAATATCTGCAATAGAAGTGATAAAACAAATTATTTAATATACTTCTTCCCTGATGATAACTATTTCAGTGGCATGAATCACACAGCTTAGAAGCAGCATATTGGTCACAGAACCTGGAATGTTGCTCACTGGCACCAGAAATTAAAAAGATGAAACAAAGCCAACGAACAAAGCAGAGAATAAGATTACTGTAAAGCATTAGACATTCTGGATTATTATCCACAAGCCAGCAAACACCAGGAAAAAAACTTTCCCTGGAACATTCCACAGATGTCTCAGTAGGAAATTCACATACAAATCATCAAGTACCAATACTATATCAATCATCATTTTCAATCCAGTCTTCACCAGTGACAGTATTAACAACTTAACAGTTCACAAAAACTGTGATGCAGCTTTCTATAGGTGCTTTTACTCTTCCCCTGTTACTGTATTAAAATTCAAAATTATCTTGCAGAAGCTAAAGATCAGTATCGCTAAACCACTATGAGAAACAGACCTAATCAACAAAATATGCCTTAGAATTAGACCATGCTGGTGGTCTGCCTTGTAAAGACAAAGAAATAAGAGTTCACAAACTAGGTGATTTGTGCAGTTGTTGATATCTTTAAATTATTCCTTTCCTGGGCTACTTTAACTCTAAGCATTTTGAGCTGTAAACATAGACCATGAGAGTGAGAAACAGAAAATACTATCTCCCAAAAACTACTCTCCTGCCAAGTGACAACAGCAAACTAGTGCAAAGTCTAACCATCCAAAGGAACAAAAATCTACTGCCTTTTTTCCAGTACTGGTCTTTTCTTATTTAAGTTATTAAAGTGACAAAAAGAAAAACCCTATCTTTTTGGAAGCAAAAAGGCTAAACTCGTTTCTCCACAATTTTTTTGTTAACTATAGCACACATTTTGTTTTAACCTTAATCATCCATTAAATGAACAAACATTTTTACCATACTGGTTTTAATTTTTTCACCTCCAACCTGCTGCATAAACAGGAAGGGGAGGAGGAAGGCCACTGTACAAAAACAGCTTAAGGGCACCTTTAATCAGTGATTAAGAAGAAAAGGGGTTTACTACGCTGACTTCAAAGAGAGGGTGGTTATCATTACACCCTTTGTTGCTCTGAGCAACTGAGGAGTTGCTTCTGATTGCTGCAGCCCCCATTTTTCCCTCCCACCTTGTCCAATCGCTGCACACCCCCCAAAGCTGCCCCAGCACTCGTGTCTCAATACCACCCATCCAGCTGTTTGCTGCCCAGAAGTAGAAGGCTAAAAAAAAAAAAAAAAAAGGAAATTAATTATCAAGAGGCCTCAGCCAGGAAGGTCACTTTAGAGAGAGCACCTCTCTTTTTCTAAATTCTTGACAGCTGCCCAGAGCCAAAGGACGGCTTGTAGGCACCCAGCGAGAAAGAAGCAGCGGTACCCTTTCGGTGCTGGCACCACTCAAAGCACGCCACAACCAGCCACCCCCAGGCTTTCTCTTCTCTGCCCTGCATTGCTTCCCTACCGTGCTAAGCGACCCTTTTTTGCCCAAAAACTCCATCCCCGCACTCCAGAAACCCTCACGCGCAGCCACCTCATCCCGCAGCCGCCCCGGAGCACCCGGCACAGCCCGGGATCCGGCCCCGCCCCCCCGCACGGCGCACGCGCTGGCCTGACCTCCTGCGGTTGGGCGAGGGAGCTGTCCGTCAATCGGCGGGCGCGGCCGCGGGCCAGTGAGGCGCGCCGTAGGGGCGGGGGCGGGGCGCTGGCGGCAGGGCGGGCGGGGCGCGGCGCGGGGACGACGCGGTGAGGGACGGGCGGGGGGCCCTGGGGACGCGGTGGTGGCGCGCGGCCGCCGCTGCCGTCACTGTCCTTCTGCCTCCGGGGTGTTTGGCCTCACCGACGCGAGGAGAGCCGCGGGGCTGGTCCCGGATCAGCGGGGAAGCCGACAGGCGCAGGGGAGCGCCCGTGGTGCGGGCGGTCGGCGGGCCTGGTCGTTACAGGATATAAGTGGTTGAAAAGAGGTCGCCTTAGGAGACCTGCCTTGTGTGTTGGAGCGTTCCAGGCAAGCAGAGGTGCAGCATGTGTGTATACTTGCTTTATAAGCAGAAATGAGGAGGCATTACGGGCGAGGCAAGGAAAAGCGTGGATGGAGCGGTCCCAAGCACGGCCCCCGCCGGCACAGGAGATCCCGTCACGGCAACCGCGCCGGAAGGCGAGTACCCGCACCGTGGGCTGGCAGGGGTTCAGCCGTGGCGTGTCATGCCTAATTAAATCTGCAGAATGGCGACTTTCTAGGACTATGAGGGTATATCTGAGAGCTATATCTGCCATCCCTAGTGAGAGTGGAATTGCACTGATTTCTGGAAGTTTACTATATATTTACAACTGTACATTGATTTTAAGCTGAGATGTGGTTGCGTGAGCTAGTCCTTTCAGGTGTGCATGGTCGTCCCTAAACTCTTCACCAATATGCAAAGATAGTTCAGGGAAGAAAAATGTCAGTGCTTCATTCTAACTGCCCGTTTATTTTGTGCCTTAGTGTCTACTGGTGTAAAAACTGTCATTAAAGAATCTTCCTGAATGTTTGAAAGCACGTTAAGTAATGTGGTAATAGTACCATATCTAGCAGATCAGGAAAATTAAGCAAAGTTTCACCAGCCTTGAAAACTGATTCTTTCAGAAAAGTGCGTTTTATACTTTAGAACTTATACTTGCCTGTGTTGGAGCTGGTTTTATGGTTCTTTTTCATTCTCATATTCTTTCATTAGTGCCTCTTGCAGGACGAAAAGATGTCAATCCTTTGCTTTAATGCGCTAAATTTTTTTTATTATACATACTTTTAGAGAAAGAGACACACATATATGAGTTGCCACATTAGTTTCACTTGTATAAGAAGGGTTAGAAACACAAACGGGCCCTCGTTCAGTGAGTATAGAATTAAAAGAATTTTCTTAAAGAGTTTTAAAGTTAAGTGCTTGGGTTTGATCTAGGGTGTTTTTGCCCTTGTATATCTGTTGTGTTCTTTAACTATTTTCAAAGCTGTATAATCAAACAGCAGTAGAGCTGGTATTAGAACTAGAATTTCTTTATTGTTTTGTTTTCAATAAGTTAAAACTCTTGCAAAACACCTTCACCTACGGTAAAATTGCCCAGTTAATCTTTTGCCAGAAAGAGTTAAAGGTGCTTGCAGAATCAGCAGCCCCCTCTAATGTTTTAGCAAGTAATTTAAGGCTTTTAGGATGCCTTTATTTCTAATGTTCTTGAGAGGTTTTTAAGCTGAATATTTTCATTGTTTGATTTTCATAGTTTAATGTATGGTGACATGCAGAGTGTGCTTATCACAGCACTGCAAAACAGTACTCCAATTATGTCAATAATAATCTGCTTTCTAGATTCTTTGTGGGAAATGTGTAGGACAGTTGTGAGTCTGTCTTGAAGGCAATGCTATTTTTTTAGTCTGGAACAGGAGGAACCACAGACCCCAGTGAATGCAGGTCCCAGCAGCAGTGGAGATCCTTCTTCATCCAGTTCAACACAGAACTCTGTAGTAGCAGGTAAGAGATGGTGTTTACAGGTAAAAAAGTCAGTTTCTATATGCTGATTGAAGGAAAAAAGTAGTAGTAGCTGCATTAATAGTCTGGTGTTACAGGAAAGTAATATCAGGTGATATAAAAAGATATAGTGAGTGAGGATCTGGAGAACAGGCCCAAATCACTTTCAGGCCCAGAAGTGCTTCTCATGTTTAAAAATTTGTGTGCTTAGCCAAGCTGATATAAGCTGAAAAAAGAGAAATTTCTTTCTCCCTCCAGAAATGCTGCTTTGGGAAGAAAATTAACTACTAAGGAAGCAAATAAAATAAGAAAGCATGTAAGAAATTACTACTTGTATCCAGTTATTCAGTCTTTTGAAAGGCACAATGATCCACCACTTTGGAGAATCATCTCTCTTTATGCCTTCAGTGTATTTTGTAGTCTGTAAGAAATACACTCTGGCTAAATATTTGTTCATTAACAACAAATGATGAAGTATCAGTGCTGTTGAGGAAGATGTCCCATTTATGTTCTGGTTTCCTGACTCATTAAATAGTGCTAGCAAAAGCTACGCCTGTGGAAACGTGTATTTCTCTGCAACAGGAGAGTCCTGAAAACACCTCTGATTCTTAACAACAGACAAAACCAGAGGGTTTTTGTATATCAATGTTTTATGTTGTGATTGTGTTAGGAGATGTATCCTGCAAGACATTTATTGCTATGTAATTAGATTCTGTGTACTAAATGTAGTGTGCTTTTATTACCTTTACCAATTCATTGACTAACTTTTTATTTTTCCTGACCTGAATAAGTTTTGGTCACTGAACCTAAAATGAAAATTCTGGTAGTAGATAAAGTTTTAAATAAAAACTCTCGAAATGAAATGTAACAATTGCCTCTTCTGAATAAAATCCTTTGTCTTGAAACAATGTACCATTATGAATCTGTCAAAGTATTTTATCTGTCTGCCTCTGAATTCACCCAGACAATGAAGCACTAAAATTGAATATTTCTCATCTCAATTTATCCTTGGATAGGGAGCCAAATGTACTCTTGATTATATCTAAATCTCTCCTATGTGTTGAAGAAAAAGTATCTTGTTCTGGGAAGCGAATCACTTTATTTTGGTTTGTGTGATACCTCACTGTCAATTTTTTTGCTGCTGTTTGGGACTGTCCTACCTAGTTTTTTAACTAAGAATGTCCCCTCATGATTGATTTATGAAGAAAGATCATTTTTGTTCTGCAGCAAATCCTTTCTTCTTTTGCTCTTCTGATCTGTCTGAATTTCCTCTTGGTCAGTGGTGACATCCCTTTTGTACCTGTGTAATGGCACTGCATTTGAAAAGCTATAATCTTTTTTTCTCCTGTAAGTGGCTCATCTATTCCCAATCTGTGTATCATACTTGGGACCTGTTGGGAGCAAGAGCTTTGGGTTTTGTGACTGACATTCACATGAAGACTTGCAATATCAAAGAGCCATAAACAAACTTAGTTATCCATGTGATTTTGTCACTTTTTCTCCCCCACCCCCCAAGAACTGCCAGGATTTTATTATGACTCAGAAAAGAACCGCTATTTTCGCCTGCTGCCTGGACATAATAACTACAACCCACTCACCAAGGAGAGCATTCAGTGCAAGGTGATGGAATGCAAAAGACTGAGACTCTTAGAAGAGGAAGAAAAACAAAAGAAGGTATGTTCTGAAAAAGATTGCAATTAGGCTTTATTGTACTCTGGCCCAGGACAGCTTATAAACTAAAGCCTTTCAATTCTGACACAGTTCGATTTCTTTTTTGGCTAAGAATGTATAGTTCTTGAAGCCTTTTATTTGACTGTTCCACACAGGAATGAAATCAAGTCATTACAAACAAAAAACCTGTAAAAAGACAGGAACTGTGCTCAAAATTGCAGTTGTCCAACAGTTACATTTGAGTCAGAACACTGGATGCCAGGTTTCAGTATGCTGTCATTTGGAATAAGTGAGCAGTGTTCTTTTCCTTAGGCAATTAAGTGCTCCAACCAGCTATTCAGCTCTTTAGTCTCCACTGTGAAGAACATTTTGACTCTCACATGATTGCTTTGTCTGAACATTATAAAAAAGATTTCTTACTCTATAATTCTGCAAAGTGCTCTATCCTTTGGTCTCCTCAGAAAGTGTTTGCATGAAATTTTAAAAAATTATGAATCATAGAATGGCTTGGGTTGGAAGGGACCCTAAAAATTATCTAGTTCCAGCCCCCCTGCTGTGGGGGAGAATAGAAACGGAATAGAAACTGAATTGCAGTTCAGTGCAACAGTAAGACTGCATGCTTAGTAGCAATGTTGTTGCGATAGAATATTTTGCTGTATAATAAGAATTTAAGGTGTTATAGCAAAGCCAGAAGGTGACTTCACACCTCCAGGTGGTACTGCTGATTATGTAGAGTGAAAACAATGGCTATTGTTTTGGGGTGTTTTTTTCTTCAGCTTTTATATTTATAGAAGCACCCCACATTTCACAGGAATATATTTTTGTCTGCTTACTGTAGGAGACCATGGAGATGGTGCTGGAAAGTGTTTTATAGATGTTCTGAAAATTTTAATTTATGTAGGCTAAAGGAAAAAGTTACCTACATATCCCAAACATCTAAGACCCACAGCCATGTTCGAATCATAAACCAGCAAATAACTGAGTAGGTTTCCATGTTATTCTCTTCCAGAAAACAACAAGGGCTGGACTGAACTCATCTGTGCTGTTACAGAAAAGGCAGCTGGGTTTGCTCAGCTCAAGTTATTGCAGGTACAATGACTTGATTTGCCCTCTGTTTTCAGTGCCAAGTTCTGCTGTTAGTGCAACTGTTTCTGTCAGGTTTTTTTGCATTTCTTCTTCCATTAGGAGAAGGAAGGATATATTCATTAAAATTAGCAAAAAGGTTATATTCTGTTCTAATCAGGTTACTAAAATGATGAGAATTCAAATGGGAAAGTTGTTTCCCAATTTCACTTCCAAAAAAAATTCACTTTATATGTGCACACACGTATGTATATGAATATGCTGGTTTGCCACATTGTGTTTCAGGAATACAGCACAGCTTTTCTTTGGATGGATGCCTTTCAACTGA